TAGCAAATATAATTTGCTGTACCTTGGATTTTATCAATACATGATGACTACTCCTTATGGAACTTGTTCCTAGAAGGAGAAGTAATATCACGAATATACATATGTAATCTAATAAATATCTATATGATTAAATAGAAGTAGATAAAAGTAGATAAAAGTAGGTTAATTTCATAATACCTTCTAGACAAGCTTCTGTCACAAATATATACCTATCGTAATTGTTACCTAAGTAATATGAATAGATAGAATTAGATAAAATTAGATTAATTTTATAATTTCTTTTAGAATAACTTTTTAGAAGCTTTTTAGACATTATTTTGACTTTATATATATTTGTAGTTGATTGATAGGTTAAAAACTTGGTCAACAAACTACCTATATACTACATGTGTAGATAGCTTGTGGAACAAGCTAACTATAAAGTGCCTATACAGAGAACTTGCCTTGCAAGTCAAGATACATATCATACAAAATCAACACATTTTTGGAGGTCCTATAGAACGTTGTCACATAAATCTTAGGTAGATGATATGTACATAGGTAAGAGTGAAGCCTTCTTCACTCTTGTCAAATCCTTTCTTGTTTTTAGTTTACTTTCAAGAATCTCTAATTTCTTTGTATTTTGGCAATAGTCATTTTAATTTTTTTTTAATATATATAATTCTCTATTTCTATTTCTTTGAAAGAGTTTCACTTATTTGTTTACTTTCATTAAGTTCTTATTTTTGATAGCTTCTTAGAAGCTTCATAGATAATGCTTTGACTTTACATGTATTTGTAGTTGATTGGGGGATTAGAAACTTGGTCCAAAAATTAATTACATATTGGTAGGTTGCAGAAGAAGTTAACTATGTTGTGTACATATAAAAAACTTTCCTTGTAAGTTAAGATATGTGTTTTGCCAAGTCAACATGTTTTAGAGGTCCTATAAGACATTGCTACATAGCTCCTAATTAAGAATATATATGGAGGTAAGAGTAAAGCCTTCTTCACTCTTCTCAATGCCTTTTTAGTCCTTAGTCTTGTTTCTAGACTTTTTAATCTTCTTTTTTTTGGCAATGGCCATTTTAATTTAATAATATATCATCTTTGAATGGCTTTTTAGTTTTTTTCAGTGTTGCAAGAGTATATTGAGGATTTCTTTTTTTGAAATTCATGTCTTTAATAATAAGTTTTTTCTTACTCAATAAGAAGTTTAAAACATATTGCATTAATTTGTATATCTTTTATATTTGAATATATATATTAAAAAGATGTTAATATTGCTATTGAATTATAAAAATGTTAATACATACTTCTATAATACCCAGATCAAAATTTAAATAATCGATAATTATAATTTACAATAAGAATGATTACTTGACTTAATAAATAAAAATCAAGTAATTTGAGAAATAATTTCTTTATCTCATGTTATAATCCATAAAGAATTTGGCTAATAATTAGAACATCATTTCACTTCATATTACTTCTAAGTTGTTAAAATTGTGAAGTATATAATGCTATTCATTGATTTTCATGTTGCAAAATATAAAATTTATTGGTTGCAACATAAATTACATCATGTTTCTCATGCATGGATTTAAATTCTATCATTTTTTTTAAAATATTCAATATTAAATCATATTATTTAATAAAAGATAAAAACTACTATAAAATATAATTTAAAAATAGTATTTTAAAGATCTTGACTTATGATCTTAGAATTTGATAGCTTTGAAATTGAAGTTCAATTAATAGTTATATTTGATGAATAAATGTTCAAAATTTTAATTTTGTGCTATCAAACTACTTAAGTACAATAATTTTTAATTCTCTAGTACTTGAACAATGTTCTACCATAAAAAAAACATATAATTTGGTGTAGATATTGAAGCAACTCCAATCATTTATATATCTTTAATTCATGTGAATTTTATTACTTCTAATGGTTGTAAATTGAGTTGATATATTATAGGCATTAATTCCCTCATTTGTTCTTATTTTTTGTTATTGCACTTTCCATTTCAAAAATCTCTACCATAATAATGCAATAGAAAAAAAGATGTCTAATATCACTCAAGTTAAGTAGAAGATGGATCTCAAGAATAAAAAAAAATCTAAAAATAATATCAATTTAGAAGTTATATATATTGTTTAATTTAGGATTACATGGAAATGTTCTCTATGACCTCCAATGCATGTCCAACTTATAAGATACATATCTAATTTGTAAGATATATATATATTCGCCACATTTCCAACTTGTATTATAAGTGGTCAACATATGCAACATATGGCCAACTTGTTGGCCAAGTTTTCAACCTATCAAATATTTATAGATATGTATAAAAGCAAAATTTACATCTAAAAAGCTTCTTTACAAGATATTTTTAAATTTATTTAAATTTATCTACTTCTATCTATTTATAATATTTAGGTCATTATTGGAATAAATATGAATATTTGTGAAAATTGGTAGAAACATGATATTATTTAAATTATGCATAAACTATCTATTAATGACGTGAATTAAAGAAAAACTTTTAAAATACTATAAAATTAACGAATCATTGAAAAATATATAAAAATAAAAATAAAAAATAAAATAGAAATAAATATAAAAATGATTATTAAATATAAAGATATTAAAAAATATTATATCAAGACTAATTGATAAGAAATGTATTAATAAGAGTAAGAATGGCTATAAACTTATTTTCATATATATAAACTACCAAAAAGGTATTACAAAATCTTCTTAAAGATTGCAAAACTTGTGGCATTAACATCCAATTGTAACTTGCTTCCAACATAACTTTTTAAAAGTAAAAATCTTAAAAAAAAAAAAAAAAAAAAAAAAAAAAAAAATTACATGGTATATTTGTAAAAGTCAAAGTATTTAATATGTGCCTAAAAAACTTCCTAAAATTTTTTTAAAGAAGATTTTGTCTACTTCTATTTATATTTATTTATTGATATTCACTTCAATTCATTTAAATTATATAAATATTTGTGACATAATTCAAGAATGCTATAAATATATTAAAACTTTTTTTTTATCAAACAAATCTATCAAAAATAGTGTTGAATTAAAAAGAATAAGATATTAAATTTAATAAGAAAGAAATTCAAATATCAACTTATAGAACTTCTATACAATATAAAAAAGTAACAATTAGTAAATTCAATTCAAGAGTTATTATTTATAAAATTACTAAATAAAAAAGTTAATTTGTTTAAAATTATATAATTTTAAAATTATAAAAGAGACCTCCAAGAAAAATATATCTTCCTTCAAATAAATAATGAGATATAATATATTGAGTACCACAATCTTAGAAGACTTTTAATGCTTAATAATACTATTAGAGGTAGATACTACATTTAATGGTATGTATAATGTATTGTTTGAAATTAGTTTTGAAGAATTTAACAATAATCAAATAACAGGATGGTATCTTGTCTTAATAATTGGCTTTATTAATAATTGAAGGGGCCTATCAACCACCTTTGTATATAACATCGATCAAAGTTTCTTGATAATACTTTTTCAATAAGATTTAGATATCTTCAACTAATGAAGAAATTTAATTATTCCTTGTAGAACTTCTTATCTAAAAATATATATATTATAATATATGTTTGTATTCTTAACTAAATAGAAGTAAAAATAAATAAACAAAAGTAGATAGAATCATGTTCAAAAGATAATTTCTTCTTTAAGAAGCTTCAAAGGAGTTTTTGACATGCACATTAAATATTTGGGCTTTTTATAGATATGTCACATAGCTATTCAAATTTATTTTAGATTTTTTTATTTTTACTTCTATAACAATGAATACTTTTATAAAACAATCAATACTTAAAACAATCAATATTTTTGCAAAAGTATTGGCAAAGATTATTTTTATTTTAAAACATGTTCCAAAGAGTTTACTTAATGTATATTCAATTACCATATAGGCCTAGCTTTAGACTTTAGGTCTTTTAATCTTGAGATTTAAATTTTAATCCTAGGACCACTAAAGCTTCAAAAATAGAACTAACTTTAGACCATTCAAAATTTTGATATGAATTATTCTTAAAAGTTTGTCATTAGAATTCTTCAAAGTTGCCTCCCAAGTAACACCTAAGCTAGGACAAGTTTTGGAAATTAATCAAGACACTAAAAATTCACATAAACTATTGTTTATTTTGCACTAAATTCTGGAGAAGGTTGAAAAATAGAGATCAATACAACCAAATTAAAAGGAGTTTGGTACTAATAGATTTGCTACGTGGAAGGCAACTTTGAAGAATTCTAATGATAAACTTTTAAGAATAATTCATATCAACTTTGAAGAAGATTGAAAAATAGAGAGCAATAGAACTAGTTAAAAATTAAAAGGAGTTTGGTACTAATAGATCATACTAACTTACCAACATTACTTTTATCTACAAATTGATCATCAAACTAGAAAATTCTATGCTATGATTAAATCCAAATTATGATATAAATCTACATCTTTGAAAACTAAACAAAACTTACATTGTAGATCTAGCACCCAAATGCATATATCCTTAATTAATACAAATGATTTGAAACAGTACATTTGTTATAAGTGTACTCTGACTACTGAGAGGAATCATTGTGAAGCTCCCCTCACATTGTTAGAAGCCAGTAATAAACTGGCTGTTATAAATGTGAAAGCTAAACGTGATAAGTGATGTTGAGCATGATAGGTTGCCGTCAATCAGTTACGTCTCGTCCACCGACTCCACTGGCTGTCACTGTCGGTGTCGCCGACAATTGAACAGATCTGAACCTGTTGCTGGGTTTGCGTCGCAGATCGAATGACGCAATTAACAGCCGAGCTTTGTGTGTCAATGTGAGTGTGCAGGTGGAACTGTAGAATTTTGCAAGTTCGCCTATCGATTGAGCACGCCGATGATTTGGAGTATCACCATGAGCGTGCAAATTTAAGACACCTTTTTCGGAGAGTCTTCGACAATTCAGCTAGAATCCAAACAGCTTCTGGTCAACTCAATGATTCGGTGTACTATTCGAATCTTTTATCGGTGTAATAACCTCGAGTCGACTAGAAGTGCCGACTAGAAGCGTAGCCGCTCAGACAGAGATCTATGAAGTAATGACAGGTCGCTGTTGAAGAGCCCGATGCATTGAAGCCAAGCAACGGCTATGACTAGGCGAAAACTCTGATCTGGATGAGCATGTAAGATCTACAATTCGACTATCTATTGAGCAACGCCGATTCCATGTAATCAACCGATCACTCTGTTCAAAATCCGCTAGAGTGGTGGTGGGGGTTTTACATGCAGTGGCAGTGAAATAACGGGATGATCTTGAACGTTAGAAGCGATGGCATGATGCACGCTTCGGAATTTGCTGGTGTGTAAGAGTGTCATGTTGCACGATAAGGTATCCCACGACTGCTCGTTGTCTTTCGTGGCTACAGTGACTGTTCTCGAACCATCGCGGTTCTGATGCGGTGTTTTAGATGTAATGGCATCCGCCACAGATTCTTCAGTCAAGGCCCCATAGCTTTGGGTGCAACTTCTTCCATAACGATTGATCGATTCATTTGTCTTCCGATTCCGATGTGCTTGTCAAATGAAAACTTCACTCAAGGTGAGGCAGAAGGGCCCACTATTGCTCGATCGAAGGTATGCAATAATTAGAGCAGATGCTCCACTTCAGAGCTTGTCTACTGTTGAAGTTCTCATTTCATGTACATGGGCCGTAGAATCTACAAAATTATATTGCATTGCTGGCTAACATCTAAGCACACTGCCTGTCTAGACTCCTGGTTCACCATTCTCAGGTTTAGCTACCAATGTGCCACTAGGTGTAGCGTTCACGACTTGACGCCCTACTGAGAGAAGCCTTTTTATTGCCATGAAAAAAGAAAAAGAAAAAGAATGGAATAAATAAGCGGGAAATTTTCGCTAAGGTACAAGGTTGCTTGCCTGAGCCCGATGCGGCGAGCCTCTCTTATCCTGCTCGATCACAATTTGGTAATCTAATGGAGCATAAACCCATTTGGCACTGCGAAGCATGAGGTCCGGCAACAAGGCTGCAACAACCACGAGCGGTTGCAGTAGCCAGTAACCGCCCGAGGGAGCCAACACTTCCACAAACTCTTTATAGGCAATCGTGGCCCAGGAGACTGGGATGGCGCCGTAGATGATAATGAAGAGGTACCAACTCAAAATGCTGGCCCAGATGGCTGCATGATGAATCCATGTAAAGTAATGAAATGCGGAATAGACTTGGAGATTCGGCACAATAACTAGCCCTGTGAACATGGCTGCTCCGAAATCCTGGGCAGCAGCTACTTGGCCGTTGGGGCGGAAAGCACTTAAACCGGAGAAGACAACGAGAGGGAAGAAGAAAATAACTGCGGATTGGTAGACAGATAACACAAGCCAATAGAAGAAAGATCTCCTATTGAAAAGCTCACCACGCTGGCCGGATCGGTATAGCTGAGGGTAACGGAAAGCATCAGCAGGAGTCACGTCCTGGTCAATGATGCCAATTATGACTACAGGGAGCACAGTGAAGACCGTGTTGTAGAAGGAAGCATACCAATCATTGTAGAGGGGGTTTCCTGAGAAGTATGCAAAGATATTGGAGTACAAAGATATCCAGCCCATAATGCAAACCTTGTAGAAGAAGTAGAGGATCTGCAGAGAAGAATCAGGCGATTAAATTAGGGGGCAAGAAAGAGCTGGTGGCCACAGAAAAGATATATCGGCAGTGAAGGATTAGGATGACTAAAAGGGATTTACCAAAAGAGCAATCCTTCGATAGCACCACCTTCCATGCACAAGCAGCAGCCGCTCCAAAAACCGAAACTGGCCGATGGCGAAATCAGCTGCCATTGCCGCCTGAACACCTCAGAAAACCAATTTTGAGACAAGGTTAGTGTCCACATGAAGAAGCTCTCGAGGACAAGACATGACGAGGTTTGCAACTCTTGGTTGATTTGCAAAAGGTGCGAGAATCGATGGGCGTGATAAGGAGTAGAAATGGGGTACTGAACCCTGAGTACCAAGTCCTCTAGATGGGGAACAGTACCTGAGCGCCTTCAACCCCTAAAATGCCGACACCAACGTTGGCAGCTTGGATCATTCCCACATCGTTCGCACCATCTCCAATGGCCAAGCACAGACGGTGTTGCCCAAGCCCTTTCCTAACAAGAGTTGTAACTTGAGCTTTTTGGCGGGGTGACACTCTACAACAAAGGACTGAGGAACAATTGATGCAAACCTCTAAGAAGAGCTCTTGGAGTGATTCTTCAGCTAGAACGTATGCAAGAGATTGACCATCTATAATAAGTGCATACTCTGATGGCTCAGCAGAGGGTTCATGTTGGGATCGTGACAATTGATTGTCTTTCGTAATAGGTGTCACTTTCTGAGATAGGCCTTCGACGTCAGAACCCGATCTTGTACCATCTACGTGAAAAGACAGCAATTCTAAACCCTTCTGTCCTCCACTTGGAATGCGCGAGTGACGGTCTCTTGGGTTGCTGAGATTAAGAGCTAGGACTTCATCGATGTTGCTCATACTGCGACTCGAATTACGGGAGAGAGCTGATGCGTTGTTCCTACCAATGCTACGGGAAAGAGCACTCCGGAAGCTCTCTGAAAAGCTAATCTTTCTCTCGCTGGTGCTTGTTCCTCGAGGATTCTCATGGCCTCCTAAGACAAGGTCCAGTGCTTCCTTGAGCTTCTGTGAGACGAATTTCTTTTGCCCCTGGTGAAATCACGGCCGGAGTTTGTCAGCACAATTTAATGATACATAATTTATTGCACTCCCTAAGGATCCACTAAGGTCGTACAGAAAATTGATTAAGAGGTTTTAGAGCACATACCTCAAAGATTTTATCAGGTAACCATTCCTCTCTGGCAGCGCGCTCTTCAATCGATCGAGCTTCAGGAACCTCCAGGCTCACAATTAATTTGTCCATGCCTTTCCTTAGCAAACTGCAACCCATTAAAAGCTGAAAATAAGTTCATGCAGCTGCTGGACCGATGCACACTTCATACATTGTTCTCAATGTCAACATTCATCTACTACGACATTGCTGGAATAGAACAGATACTAAGCTAGAGTTGAGAAGGGACAGACAAACAAACCTGCAAGCATAGCCAATATTGATGGCAGTTTCTACTTTGTCACCCGTCAAGACCCATATATTGATCCCCGCACGAGCAAGACGATCAACAGCTTCTGGAACACCTTGTTGCAATTTGTCCTCCACACCTGTGCCACCAACTACTGTCAAATCCTGCTCCATTTCTTCTGCTAATTCCTCAGTGCGGAGCTCTCTCTCTTTCCCGATTATGGCCCTCGCCTCTGCGTACCTTACTCGCCAGCTCTGGTACTCATTTTCGTCTAATTGCTTGTAAGCAACCACAAGCGTCCGGAGACCAACCTCCCCGAACTGTCGAAGGTGTTTTGACGTTTCCGTCACGGGGCCACTGCTGTTCCTATCCACGCGCTGAAAAATCACGGAATCAGCCCCTTTCGATAGAAGTAACAAACGGCCGTCAGGGAAGCGGACAATGACAGACATGCGTTTGCGCAGACTGCTAAATTCTAACACATCCAAGAGCTGATAAACTTGGTCCCTTGGAGGAACATCAGGTCCCAAACTTTCGCGGATATGTAAAGTTGTAGGAGTTTTCTTATAGAAGTAGAAGCCGAATTGCTTGGCGGCAACAACGAGGGCGGCCTCGTCTGGTGACTCAGCCCTGTAGCGCATCATAAAAGGATCTTCAGCGGTGCCCTCCGGAATGGCTGTGTGACATAGCGCAAGAACCTCAAAGAAAAACTTAATTGCTTCGGAGTTTCGTTCTTCAATCCACTTTCCTCCCATGAGGCGCTCGTCGTAGAAGTTAAATCCCTTTTCTTTGTAGGGATTGTTATTAGGACCTAGTGCATTCGCATCTAATGTTTCTGCTCTCGCACTCATCGTTCTCGAGTCGGATTGCCTCTCAGGTCTTAGATCACGTGAAGACAGACCCATCGGCATGCCCAATCTCACCGCCGCCCTCTCAACCTCTGTCGTACCTTCCCCATACGAGATTCCGGCAATTGTACACCGGAAGAAATCCATTTGATTACTAGTGAGAGTGCCAGTTTTATCTGAGAATATCGTGTCAACTTGACCTAATTCTTCGTTCAACCCCGGAGACTTTACCCTGGCCCGCTTGTCAGAGACTGAATCGTACATTTGTTCATCTGCAACCATAAATAGGGCTTGAGCAACTCTAACAATCTCCAAGGAGACATAGAGCGCAATGGGAATCAAGTATCCGTAGAGCACGAGGCCGTTAAAAAATCCGACAATACATACGATAGCTATATTGTTAGGATTGTAGTATGCGTTACTCTCCGTGGGCCGCAAGTACCACACATTAAGCCCATCAACGTTTGTGCGAATGCCTATAATCACACAAGTGGCAATGGCCATGCCGATCAGCAAGAAGAACATGAGCCAGATGACTCTATCAAGAGAGCGGTCCACCCGACTGCGCTTATTCGGAGGCGCAGTGGCATTCTGCATCGATTTCGTGTCGTGGCCTGTGTACACCACTACACCAAGAATACTTCCCGTGTTCTGGAGGCTACTGTCTCGCAGTAACAACTGGGGAGGCCCGACAGGAAGCTCCACTTCATTGATCTTTAGGCGACCTGAGAATGTGTACAAGGACGCATTCGGGCCCTCGCACAGCAACTCGGCCTTAAATTCTCGCAATTTTACTTCTTCTTTTCCGTCAATTTCCCAGGTCACCTGCAAGGCTTGCCGGACCTTGAGATTAGTTTCGCCGTCCAGGTTCATCGTCTCCACGTAGCAGATGCCATCGGGACCACTCGAAGATACCAGCAATAAGTCAGACGGGAAATAGTCGCCGTCTTTCACTCTGACGAGATCCCCGACACGCAAGACTTTCCACTTCTTCACCACAAATTCTCCATTGCCGTCGTGTACTTCAATGTCTCTATTGTTGAGCTCACGATCACCCTTGGCTCGCCGCAGATCTTCCCATGCTTCTCGCAATAGACCCAAGACAAGAACAAAGATCAGAGGTAGCCAAACACTGATAGGGCTGTAGGGCGCGAACGGCGCGAGGGATAGACCAGCCATAGCTGTGAAGTACCAATACGCCGCTCTACGATACTGAACAAAGAGCGCCGCCGGAACAAAGCTCCACCATGAGTACTTTCTCGTCGACGTCCTGTTCCCCGGAAAACTGTCCATGACACAAACGTAGCCCAGATTATTAATCCGCACCTACGAAAAGGCGAAAGTTTTCGCGCTCCTCGGCTACTTGATTGGAGCAGTTCCAATTGTGTGCAGATTGCTACATAGACATTCTGCATGTTACAGGAGTTTAGCAAGATTAAGGTATTCGCACCTGAAGGCTCCGTGATCGGGTACGTTGCAAAGGACTGTGCGAGCATCTTCGTCGTGGCCATTCAAAACCGAGCTATCGCCTGGGCCTAAATTCCCAGCCTTTTTCCTTTTCCAGAACTTCATGATGGTGGCCATAATGTAAACACCGGACTTCTGATTCCACTAGATTGTTACGTTACTCGCTCAATCACCTTACTGTTTGACAATTTTCTGTTGATCTTTTCTTACGGCTCCATCGAAGTGAAATCCTCAGCCAAACTTTGGCTCTCGAAATCCAAGATGCTCCCCAAACCCTTCCTTCGCAAGAGACAACCTCGACTAGGTGTATGGTTCTGTGCAAAATCGGCAGGAATCGCTGGACTTCATAATTCCAGATTCCAATTTATTAAGTTCTTGATTCTTTGGAGCGCATAGATGGCATTTGTGCAAAATTAAACTCCTAAACCTACAGAAGTCAACTCAGGATTAGGGGAACTGGAAGCTGAGAATGTAAAATCAACTAAGCAATGAGGACAAGGGCCGCACCTGGTTGAAAAGGTGAACAAAGACGCCAAAAGCTTACAGTATTGAAAGTGGAGAACAAAGAAATCCCGACCAAAACACGCTTAAAAAAATCAAACAAACAAACAAACAAACAAAAATACAGTCAAAGCACGAAACCTCTACTGCCAAAAGCAACCAGATCCCATCCAATAACGAGAAACTGGTGCAATCCAGGTCATATACCTTCTTCCACCAGGATCTCTAACCACCGATGACTAAAAGAAAATTGCATATCCCAATCACGGCTTACAACTCTAACACGGCAAGACTTGCAAAGAGTTTTGTGTTTCGCAACACGGACACACCTCACAAGGTAAGCGTGGCAGAAAATATGGTCACAGCATGAATTTTGCACTACATGCACTTCTGGTTAGCTTCTGTCGGGAAACAGCAAGATAATGAATCGTGGAAGACACACACCCGTCACAGCCTGCACAAATAGATCTATCCTAAATACACAAGTCAATGGAACGGACGCAGCCCCGGAAAGTTCTGTGCCGAGACGTTGAAAGCGATGCGGGAGCCACATCGCGAAGAGGAATCTCGCAAACCGTATCATGGTCGTGGAGTCTACAATTATCGTCACCGTGCAGAAATCGGAGTGTCTCTCCCTAGATGGAACTGCTGGGGAGGCGAGTTGTTTCTTCCGCAGCTTCGCACCGAGCCCTTTGGGCATTTACACTTCCGATGAGGGTTCGTGGTCCAAGTCTTCTCGAAAGCCTTAAATTAGACCAGCACGCTTGTGCAGCCAGGGCCGCCAACAACCGGCGCCAGTGCTGGGCTGGCAGGACCGATTGGCACCTACGCCACGCCTACCTGAAGTCCATCTCACAGCCGAACTTTCGGAATGGGGAGACTGCAAACCGCAACTCCCCGAATCACCTGCTGCGCTCCTCATCATACTTGATTCTGCGTTGGATTTCTTTAACACTCGCTCTATTTCGCACATGGGAGAGTAACGGTCACGCTTTCGGCAAAGCCATCCAGCTCCGTGGATACTCGAGCCCCCGGATTTTACAACGTGCCAGGGTGTGGGATCTCAAAGTTAGCAAGTAGGACGTCTGGTCGCGGGTCTACCACAAGCACCATGTGCAACACAATGTCAAACGATTCTCGTCAGCCCCGTCGTTAGTAGCCACTCCCAGTTTGTAAACCCCCATGACGTAGTGATTGCTCACTCTGCTTATCGCAGCTTCGTGCTTTTAGGCTATCTCGCTCACCGTCATGTCCACGTTCGCGTTCTTAGGGTTTGCACTTCCACGAGGCCTCGTCGTCGCGGGGATCGCTGCCCCGCAGACGACGAGGGGCTTCGAGTCTCGTCGTTGAAAACCACGCATAATCTACGTGGCTTCGCTTTTACTTTTTCGTCCGTCGATACGTTAACTTTTTCGTTCTTACATAATGTTTTTTCGTTCGGAAGCGTTAGCTTTTTCAGCTCGCCTCCTTCAAAGTTTTGTTTGTATGAGGCATTTGTTCTACAGAAAAGGAAATAGTGCTTTACATGAGGCAAGCTTTAATGAAAGTATCAAAGTACTCTTCACAAAAGTAGGACATGGTAGTCAGTGCATGCTGACGTGGTTGAAGAAATTTTTGAGTTCATAAAATAAACTTTAAATAAAACTGCAGAGTGAAGCGAGGTTAATGTTAGACCGGGTTTGATTACGCATTTAATCTACAAAATACAGGTGTTTTAAAACCTTCACAACAGCATCAAAAGAGTCTTGTGGGTAGGTTGAAAAACATGGTTGTAGATCAAATATATATTTAAAGACTTGGTGTCAACAAATTATTTTGTTTGTAGAACATAGATCTTTGCATGGTCGACTTAACTAAATTGTATTTGGAGTAGAAAAAAATGAGTTATTGATTATCGTGTTGATTGAAATGGATCATTTCATTATTTTTAAAGTGACATGAGCATTTGATGACATGTAATGTTTGAAAGGATAGTTTACTGTATATTCTTTAGCACAATCCTGGGCAGCCTGAACTCAAAAATTACATTATTCAATGTATCAAACTGAAGTTACACATTGTATTTATTTTCCAATACATTACATAGAATTCAACTTGTTAGTTGTGCCATAAAATGTGTTATTTAAAAATGCAGTACTTATGAATCCTTATTTATTTACAGAATTGAACCTTTTTATAAAAAATTAGAATACTTTTTTTTATTTCTAATACATAATATATTTTTTAATTTGGGGGATGTGTAAATATTCAAACTTAACCACTAACTCAAAATATTCACTTTTGAATCATCAACTAAATTGCGCTAAACACTGACAGCTTATTTTCCATATCAATAGCCTTAACTATTGTAACTTTTTCACTACACATAGAATCATAATCACAAGACGAAGCTTCTATATTCACACGTCACCGAAAAATATATTCAAAACCATATAAAAACACACACACACACACACACACACACATATATGTATGTATATTATCCTCACAACGACCTGTGAGCAATGTACCGACTTAAGAAACACTTTCATCCAAATTGGAACAATCCATTGCAAAAAATCATAAAGAACATTCGTGGGAAACGATGACCACATATTGTTCTTAATTTAAACACTAACTTTTTCTAAGAAATAGGCACCTGAAATGTATTAGATTATGGTTGTCCTTCATTTCCTGGATTCATATCAAGAAAAACTTTGATTCTTTTTCCTCAATTTGTATGTTTGTATCCCCATCTCAAGTTTGGTTGCAAAAGTGGCGGTTTCCGTCTTGTAATGCTACAATTCACAACTTCTTGCATGTGCTATCTTGAACATTGACGTGTGAAGTGTGGCCAAGATTTTGTGTGTATTTTGCAAAACAATTTGTGTTTTAATATTCTTGTTTAGAGTGTAATGCTTCACCTTAATCTTGTAGAATATAATGTGCAATGATAATAAAAAAATTATGTAAAAAGAAAACTGGATAAAAAATAGAAATAAGATTTAGCATTACCTTGTTCCTTGCATTATATGTAATTACTGTGAAAAATTGTGCAACTTCTTCATTGTAAGATCTATTACATATTACTATAATATATGTTTAAGATGATGCAATGAAACAAAGCCTAGCAATTCAAGCTTATTTTATTTTATTTAAAAAAAATCAAGAAATTATTTCTTGATTATTTTTATTGTAAGTAGTTTTTTTTTTTTTTTTTTTTTTTTTTTTTTTGTGATCAACATAAAAAAATTGCAATTATTTGTTCTCTCTTTCTCTCTTTCTATATACATATATAAATATACAAGTCTCTCTCTATATATAAATATATAAGTATATCTACACTGTGGTATGTGGCTACACATATAAGTATAGCAATTATCTACCAAGGCCAACACAAGAGCTGTTGAGAAAAAGGCAATGTCTAAATTTACTTAATCAGTATAAAAATAACCAAAAACCGAATTGATTGAGCACGCACTTTTACAGTTTGGTTCAAATAATATAAAGGAAAACATCTCTGCAATATTTTTACATCTATATTTCAATAGAGTTTTGCATGCAGATTTATTTTATAAAAGACCTTATTTTCACTACATCATTTTTTACCAATAATACTTCTTTAAAATCTACTCATAGCATTTAGGAGATTATTATAAATCAAATTTGATTGAACTAATACGACATCATAATAATATTTTTCAATTATCATTAAAGAATATTTTTGTCAACATCCTTGTAGAAAAACACCAATCAATATTTCACAAGATAGTACTACTTTTTTTCCCTTTTTTTTTTTTTTGTAATATTACCAATTAATTGTTCATAATTTACTATATCGTCATATGGTTTTACCAATGACGTTTTGGTCAACTTTAGTGTGGCATCAGCAACTTGGAGATATTTTTCTCAAATGTTTGTTGTTGCCAAGTGAGACTCAAAGCACTTTCATGCAAATCGCTACAACCCCATTGGTTGACAAGTTAACTCTACCCACACATCATGGTGACGTGTGAAAGATATGAGAAGATGTGAGGAAATAAGGCAAAATAACAGACATTAGATTAATAAAAACATCGAGCAATCCTCATAATAAAAAAAGTAAACGGAAAGATAAAAAAATGGGGAATCATATCACAGACACAAAATTTCAATTTATTTCCAATTCAGACCTACAGCAGACAAAAACAACTTCTGGAATATAAAGACTTTCAAGTCTACATTTGAAAGCCAACAGTATTGCTTCAGCCGAAGTAACCCAATCGTTTGAATTCAGCAACATAACTCAACTCTGACACGCCTCTCTGGGGTAACTGTGGCACAAGTTTGGGGGAAATCACACACTGGATCTGACAATGTGAACACATTAGTTCACGGAACCCAATGGATATGGGACTGAGTTTGCTGGAGGACCGGATCAACGTTCCTGTTGAGAAGGAAAACTGGGCGTAGTTGTGGAGTGATAGCTGTGATCCACAAGCATCCTGGAATATCACAGCGCACTCAGCGGTGTTGGCTGAGGTTGTGTGGTTGTCGATTCTGCGTGGACTTCGTAGACTAGGTGCTAGATAAGTGGATTGACTAGTCGCTCCGTGGCGCTGTTGCCTCGAACTGCAAAGCTTGCAGCCGCAGTTGATAGACCCGCAGGTGGGTTCCGCACACGACATCTTCACCCGGCGGATTGAAACGTCGCTGATGGTGTTTTCGTAGTCGTCGTTCCTCTCGCTTCTGCTTCTTTGACTTCGAGCGGTCTTCCGTGATTTCTGTTTCTATGGGAGTGTACCACTCTACAGCATGCGAGCGATCGAGCGAGAGAGAAGGAGATCTAGTGATGTTTCGTGGCTGCTGTCGTGCAATGGAGCAGGGTGTGGCGCGAGGAGAGATGTTGACAAATCCTCGTTAGAACTAACCGGGATATGTTCCATCTGCACGCGCTTTTCTCTGGTTTTGGTCATTGTGTACCAAGTGGAAGGCAACGTTTTCTGGTTTGATGATTCTGCACCGAAAGATCCTCGATGTGAATGTGTTGGAAACAATGTCACGGTGGACTTTCGTAACAGAAATCTTCTCCATAGTAAGGACATGCATCACAAAGAGAAGGCGGAGGTGGGGGCGTTGGATCCTTTCTCTTCTGCTCTTCTTCCAACAACTTCCTTGCTTCTTCTTCAGCTTTTAAGATCTCAAGAATGTCCACTGGTGGATCCACCCAAAACGATAAAATACGATCTTCAAATAGGTCCTCCACCATCCGCACCCCCTTCAAATTATCTCTCCCGACCCTGGCGGAAGTCACAGCAGATTCCGCTACTCAGTCATGGGGTGGACAAACGTAAGACGTGATCACTGAAAAGAAATATCAGAAATACTATCTCATTTAGGATATGAATAACATACGGAACATGATAATCAATCGGCTTAATTGTAGGCTTCACAATCTCCTTCACGCTCCTGTGAAAGGCTCGTAATTTCTCTATGGTTTCTCGATTCTTCTTATAATGATGCCGTGAATGTTGCCAGTCCAGATCCAACCTGCACTCACAGGAACATGTGCAATAAACTTGGTTTAACTCACGATCTTCCTTAAAACTTAGTCCACATCGACAACAGTCCTGAAGTATTGCAATCTTCATTACTAGTAAATTGCTATTTGAGACTGTTGTGAATCTAACATACCGCTCCTGTGCCTTCAACTTAGCGACCTCAGGCACGTCAGGGCCCTGACTGGTATACCAGGGAATCAACTGCCGTTTCCAAGTTTGTGTCCATCGCCAACCTGTGTCCTGTCTGCGGATCTGCATTGCACGATATTTTTCTCAATTAGTTTTCCTAGTCCAACCCATTGCTGCTGGCGAGTTAAGTGCACCAAGGAAAACACATGTTTGTACTTACCTTTTTAATAGGTGTAGCGAAATTTCTTTCAGAACGTATCTTTGGAAGTTTTGGGAGGAAATGGCATTGAAGCCTTCGAATTTCGGGTATCAAGCATAGATTGACAATGGTGCAAGTGTTATTAAGCAATAGATGACCATCCTCTCTGTTGTAAAAAGGTTTTGGTGGGAGTTTCTTGACTCCTGCGGGATCCCACCGCCTTGGTGGCTTTAGTCCAAATACATCAGGGTCCTTGAGGTTGTACCAGATGAATTCGTGAGCTTTCTTGGCCTGCGTAGTTAAACACACATGGAACTATCAGATGTTAGCAAGCTAGCATAGATTAAGCTCGCGATCAACTTGTTTGGAGACTGTCACTGACAATTAAAGATTCCATTGCGAACAAAAGAAGCGTAAATTTTTTCTAAACTTTTCCCTACTCTGTAACATCACAGAATGGGAAGTGTCGAAAAACACAAGATCTGCCAATCCGGGTACGTTAATCGTCTGAGCAAGAGTTGCAAAATGCTCATGTGCTGGAAAGTTCAAGAAGCTACGATATTTTCAAAAGTAATTGTTAAGATATGGAGTAGCTCACAGTAGGGTTGCGGGCATATTGGAGGTCTCCACAGACTCGTTCGTTGGGTTTGAAATTTGTCCTCCCATATTTGCCATACTTGACTCTGACAGGGGACTCCTGCCTCCGTGTATGCTCTGACAAGGCGCTATCGAGCCATAGGGGGTGTTTAGAGCAATCTAGGTATCCCGGGTATGCGCCGTGTCGAAACTGGTAGTTTTTGAATTTTGACAAACAGCCTGGATCGGAAAGATCCTTCTCACGCCCTTCCCGGTTGGATTGATTAGGTTTTCGCAGATCTAATTCGTGAGGAGCAGCGAATGCAGCTGATGCGGCTCTTGATATTGCTTTGGAGTCTGCTGCGCCGCTACTATTTAAACTCTTCGCTGATCGATTCGAGTTCATCGCCCGGGAAGGGGACGCCGATTTGGTCGCAACCATCATAACCAAATTTAGATGCGATTACTCCAACGTCAATTGCGTAAAATCAAAATCAGATGTTGTGTTACCCTTGAGCAGAAATGCAAGTTTTCCGCACTGCATGAAGCGCATCCCAAACACATATCGGACGTATCCTGCTGCCGCTACAATCTTTTGTTTTCAATGGAATCTTTAAATTTCAGATCTCAGCAAATCCTGACAAGGGATTTAGAAAACCTCATGTCGTTTCCCATTGACGGATCAGCAAACACAGCCTGACTTACCGACCAAACCCTCGTCATCCACGGTCCGTACACCAACGCATTGAGTAGGACGAAGGATATGGATCCAGTTCTACGCCCATGTCACTGATCTCCGACTGGTAATACCGCAACACCAAATCCTTGGCACATCAGAATTCACACAAATTTTGAAAGCAATCCATTCGCTGCAGCGAGGAATGCAGTAGCAGCAGGACTACTTACAGTCACCTCGCGAAGCAGGGGTATCGATGGCGATGGTCGGTAGTATAGAATGCACCAGGCCGGCCATCTGATGGAAGAAGCGAAGCGATGTCGCGACGTGATCTGCATGGATTGCATGGGACAGAGAGCACGTAGACGTGGGCAGCCTGTCAGCCGTGGGATGCATGCTCGTGGAGATAGGGATCGACGCACCTCCTCCACGGCTTCTAAACTATCCATTAATCTGTTCTCTTTTTCATGACACATTTTGTCTTCTATGCAGTTTTTTAAGAAACCATTTGTTTGAATGTGTTTCATTGATAGTTTACATACATACATATTAGAGAAGATGTCTTTTAGAAGACGAACTCCAGAATTCAATGCAAGTGCTATTATATTTTCCAAAAAATGTGTATAGGCTGGAAAGTAAGCATCAAATTCTAATTTTTAAGTAATTCCAATTTATACATATTTACTTACGAAGTGTTGTTATATTCTAACCGTAGAAAAAATTATTTAAGCCTCCAAGAGTCAATTTTTTAAAAAATATTTCAGAACACTATGTTGATAAATAAAAGACTTAAAAATGATGAGAGTAATTATCAAGTAAAATTGAAATTAACAAATTCGGAGCATTAAGGTTGTTGAAGTACATTGCATGTTGTAAAGTTTTTCAGAATGAATTCTGTAACTCAACATTATATTTTTAAATCATCTGAAATGTTGATTTCTAATGTCCATTTACAATTTTGTACATAATATTATGAATAAAATATATATTTTCTATAGGGGAATGTTAAATAGACCCAAGTTTTTATTAAATCAACCTATCCATGATGAAAAATATGGTATTCATAATGAATGTGGTTGTTTTTCATTGATTTTGGATCCAATAGTGGAGAAATGAATTATAGGCCATTTTTTATTTTTTTATTCATAATGGTTAAAATGGATGGATCAATTTATTAAAAGCATGTTTCTATTTAATATTTTCCTATATATATTTAATATTTTTAAATTTAATATGTAAAAATTTTATTAATTAAATTGTATCAAAAGTTTTATACAATAATTTTTAGATTCTATTAAATAATTATAACCATAATATATATTTAAATAATAAAAAAGAATGTCAAAAATATTTTAAAATTGTTGTTGAATTCATACAAAACATTCTAAAACTTGAATGAATATCTACTTTTTTACAAATATTTACTATTTTTTATTCAATTCTTTATCAAAAAATATTTTTTTATCTAAATAAATTGGCTAGTAGATAATAATAATAATAAATAAAAAATAAAAAATAAAAAAGAAAAAAAATGATTTTAAAAATCTGTTAGATAAATTTCTAGTCCTGATTAATTTTTAGTCTTCAAATTTTGTGATGCCAATTCTTCAATTGTAGTGTAAAATTCACTTCCTCTTATTGTATTGACGTAACTTTCTATACCAAACTTCATCAAGGATGAATGCTTTATTATCAATTTATATGACCTTTATTTCACTTTCTTTACAATTAATTCCTTATTATAGGAGTTTTTACATTTAAAGTTAGGCTTATGGTCCTTTTCATAATTGAATTTTTGATGTAATATTAAAAGAAATTAATATAACTCATATTCATATTCACCTTGAAAGACAAAGAACCAAAATCTTTTGAATATATCTCAAGATCTATAATTTATATAATTGTCATATATGCAATTTAGATATCACAACCTTCACCATGTAAAATTTGGTATAAAGATTAAAAAAACATGATATATATATATATATATATATATATATATATATATATATAATATTATCATCTTAAAAAGAAAAATATTAGTATTAAATAATTTATTTTTACAAAAAGATATAAAATTTAATTATGATATGAGAGATACAATATAAACGTTACTCTAAAAAGTCTCAATATTAATCAAATAAACATGAGATATCTTTAGCTTATTATACACTAGTAGTAATAGTTCAAACGATGTATCAATTCTTTTAGTGGATAATATATATCAAAGTTTGTAAAAAATATTAACTTATAGATCTTATACTTTATTAAGTTAAGAAAATAAACCAAAAATAATCTTATTCCTCTTTGTAAATTCATTCCTAAAGAGAAATAGTAGGAAAAAAATAGCAATAAAAATACCTATAATACTTAAGTAAATTTAAGTACATAAAAACAAGGGAGTTGTTAAAGCAACACCCACATTGCCATCTCATAATAGATTTTTTCCATCCCCATCTCCGTCCCTTGTTTCATGTCTCCCATCCCTCGTTCCTAACTCCTGTGCCTCATTCCTTATCCCCATCTTTTGTTCCTTGTCCTCCAAAATTAATCATCATATGGTTTGGAGGGTGTGGCTTTAACAACTCCCAAAATCAAATAGATGAATGTAGATATATATTAGGTTTATATTATTTTCTTGAAAAAACATAATCAAAACTTTATAAATGTAGGTTAAATCTTTAGGTCTCTTTATGTGTATCATATGGTTCCAACTTGGTTTTGAACATTGTAGGTTCTTTGTACTTAGAAATAGTCATTTTCATGTTTTTATTTCTTATAAATATATGTTTTGTTAATTATCATTCTATCTTAATTCTATACAAGGTTATTATTTATTGACGATTTTGTTTAGATTTTAAATTAAAACAATATTTTAAAGATTAATTTTAAATAATATCTGAAGTAGCAAATTTTGAATATAAAATTTAAAGTCCCTAGAAATAAATTTCTATATTTTTCTATAATTTTTTAAAACTAACTCTTAATACAATAACTACAAAATAATAATAATAATAATAATAATAATAATAATATATGATAAATCTAACTCATAAATTAATTTATATATATATATATATATATATATATATATATATATAATTTTTTTGGTATATAATAATACTCAATATGTTGATATATATAATTTATTTATAAATAAATAAATAAAAAATAAATAAAAAATTTAATTTAATTTAATTTTTTACAATACATGTATATTTAATATAATAATTACAAAAGATACAGTACAATAATACATGTATATTTAATACAATAATTTTATCCTTCATACTTTCTATGAATATCTTGGAAAATAAGAAGTTTCTAAAACATGTAAAACTATCATTGACATATTGTAGTTGTCAAATTCTAAGCTTTTAAATCTTCATATAAATCCAAAAGATTCTCATAGTATTTCAGCTTAATTCTACTACTTTCTCTATCCAACAAATCAAGAGAAAGTATCAACCAAAGATGGATAGAGAAAGGAAAGATGCAAGGATAAATCACAATACAATTCAAATTCAACATCCTAGTCTATATGTATAATTTTGGACAATGTGCCCTTGAACATGGGCCTAAGCTTGGAATCCTATTCCACTTGGGTGGATGAGGACAGAAAGATTTGCCCTAATTCGGTTAATGAATTTCTATGAGGAATGCCCATTTATGTAGGGCACATGTGTTACAAAAGTAGGGGGTGTATTGAAAAAGCACAAAATAAAGTATTATCCAGTTAAAAGTTAACGAACAAAACCAATGCAGTGAACAGTTACGTTTTTACTCGATGGTAAACGAGATATAGTCGCAACCCACTGTGGGGTAAATTTGTGGGCTTATCCGTGGCAGAACCCTTTTCACACCGTGAGACTAGCATATTTGGCGGTGGAAGGGTTGATGTGCAATCGGTGCGGCACGCTATCCTTATGGGATATGTAGAATACCATCGTCGTATTCCTTGCAATCTAGTTCCATGCTCCCTCCTCGAATTCACGCCATCTCTCTTCCTGCTTTCTCGGCGCTTTAGTCCTACCCAATTTGCCAAAGCCGTCAGGAACCTCACGCTCCGTCGATCATCATATAAGGCTCTCTTTGACTTGTTTCCTTTGCTGGCATTCGTCTTGTTGGGTCCTCGACAGGCAACGTTTTTCAAGTGAGTTTGGATTTTCCTTTGGATTGTGTTTGGTTTCTGTGCACTTTTTGAGGGGATCCAGGTATTAGGATTCCTGTAGGAGGGTTTTATTAGGGTGTGATTTGGTTTTGGTTTGATTTTGTTGTCGAATGGTGCGTGCTCTCTTTTTCATCGTGGTTGGATCGGCATAGTTTGCGCGGATGGGTTCGATTTTGGGTTTTTTCTTGGGTGGCAGAGTTGTGGAAAGGATCTTGGCTGCGTTCGAGGAATTATTAATGCGCTGACTGCGCTTGAGTGCAATTTCTGTGCCAGGGGTTTCTTTCGGTTTTGTAATTGAAGGAATTAACCATAGCTTGAGTCCTCGTCTCATAGTCGAGTTTTATATGTAACGCAGGAATTATGTTGGCGTGTAGAATTCAACGTATTTACAGTTAATAACCACTGATAATGTTCTGCCTTTACATAGTGTTCGGTAAAAAGTTTTTATAGTTTGAGGGCATGATATGTAGCGTCTCCCAATAGTCCCCTTCAGTACAGTGCCCAAACTTCAGAAGCCCGAGTTTCTTGAAGGTTATGTCCGAAGCACAGTTTTAGAGGAGGCTATAACCTTTTGATTCGAGATGTTCTTCTACGAAGGGGTGTTTTATGATGGCGCAAACTTGAGTTTCAGTTTGTGACTTACGCATTTTAATTTAGGTTCTGCTCAGAATTGTGAATTAGAGATGCGAATCACTTCACTTCTAAGTTGTGTTACCATGTTAAGTGAAGAATTCGAGACTTAGAATGTGTGGAACAGACTGGAATTCTCAGCATTGAAAATTTTCAGGGTTCGCAGGGACATTTCATCATGGCGAATGAGAAAGAGAAGCTAATCTTGGTTGACAAAACCAGAAATGGAATTGCAACTATTACTATTAACAGGCCACAAGCGCTTAATGCGCTCACTCGTGACATGCTCGTGACTCTAGCTTACTCTTTCACCCGACTGGACGAGGATCCTGATGTCAAGGTTATAATTCTTACAGGAGCTGGGAGAGCTTTCTCCGCTGGAGTGGTAACCTTCTTGACTCACTCATTGAGGAGAGAAAAAGATCTATTCCTCTGGGTTACCTTCAAATATGGCATGCCTTTGGATGCTAGAAATGAATAATTGTCCTATAGAAACCTCGCCAATCATAAATGTTCTCTTGCAGGATTTAACAGCAGCTTCAGATGTGTTCAAGGGTGATGTCAAGACTGAAGCGACCGACACTCTAGCTCAAATGCAAAAATGTCATAAGCCTATAATTGGTGCTATTAATGGTCACTGTATCACAGCAGGCTTCGAGATTGCTTTAGGGTGTGATATTTTGGTGGCTAGCACTGCCGCCAAATTCATTGACACGCATGCCAAGTACGTGTTAAATCAGCCCCTTAAATCTTTGCTTTCATGAAACCAAGGAATTCTTCAAGAGTGTCAAAGCTCGCCGAGATTTCTGCTTGTTTTACCGGAATTGGATTGCTTTGCTGACATTCTACAAGTTTTAGGGCGTAGGGTTTATGGGATTTAGTAACCCAGGAAGAGGTTTTTTTGTTCGCAGATTTGGAATTTTTCCATCTTGGGGTTTATCTCAGAGGTTGCAACGCGCTATAGGGCCTTACAGAGCACGGGAAGTCTCCTTAACAGCTACAGCGTTAGATGCACAAACGGCGGAGAAATGGGGTCTAGTGAACCGTGTGGTTGCTCCCTCAGAGCTTTTAGGTGCAGCGAGGGGCATTGCAGAGGCTATTCTTAAGAATAATGAAGGTCTTGTTTTGAAGTATAAGGCTGTCATCAATGACGGCTTTAAGCTCCCCCTTGGCGAGGCATTGAAGCTTGAGCAGGTATCCTAATGTAGCTGCCAAGCGCTACTCTGTTTGCACGTTAAGACACACCTATTCGGTTAGTTTTTGAATTTCGGGGGCTAACTTTCAGTGCAAATCACTGGACAGCCTGCCTGATGATGTTTATTTTATTTTATTTTGTACCTTACTTTCTATTTGATGCTGTGATGTAGGAGAGGGGGCATGAATATTATGCCAATATGAAGCCGGAGGAGTTTGCTGCAATGCAGGAGTTTATCGCCGGGCGATCTTCAAAGCAGTCGAAACCTAAGTCAAAGCTTTAGAAGACGAGAATCACACTCGTAAGAAGTAGGCACAAATAATCTAAGTTGGGTTAGCGCCGATTACCAATGTGATAAAAGTTTGATGAGAAAAAAAAACATCTCGATTTTAGAGTATGCTTGCTAACCTTCGGTAGATAATCTAGTTGCAATTCATATACTTTCCCAAACTTCACTGTCATAAAGGAGCTCTGTTTCTGTTTCTGGGAGCGTTACATGCTTGCCTGTAAAAAGATAACCCTATTCAATATTGCTTAGATCCTCACATATTTCCCGACATCGTACGATCTGTTTTCGTGAACACCTTCAGAAAGTTTGCTGGTATTGCATTATATTAGTACAATAAATGCAGCATCTTTCGTTGAGGATTTTCTATCAGATCTTAAATTAAATTAAAATATTAGTTTCACACTCAACCCACCTACAAACAAAGAAACAACATCAACAAATTTGCATGGTGTCATGTACACAAAGATTGTTACATACAACACATTGAGTGCTACAAATCAATGAATTACAAAGTATGTAACTTAAACCAAATTCAAATGTACACTCAACATACTCTTAAGTGCCCTCCCATAGTTCATTAGGAGTCCCTCCAGTCAGCTAGGACCACAAAATACTCATTGTTGAAGATGAATGCTACAATGATGTTATTGCCAAATTGTACTCTTCCAAACTAGTATTGTAGCAACTAAACCACCAGCATGTGACAATGATTTTGTGTGATCAATTCTTCTCACCACATACAAAACAAGGAAGATCAATTGGCACAATTGCCAATTCAAGATGTGTAGAATCATCAATACAAAGATGATAAAGAGCACAATTCTTTGAATGCTCTCAACTCTTGTCTATCCTTGCCTTCCAATAACAAAATATGACTAGACAACACATTCTTTACATATAGAATTATGTGTCATGTCTTAACATCAAATATTGTAGGCACCTCATGTTGCAAATATACATAATCTATTTAAGTATCTTTGTAATTAAAGTTGATAAGCTCCACTATGAAGGCAAATATATCATAAAAAGTCACAATGTTGAACAATAGATAAATTCTCCACAGCCATAGGCATGGCTTGTTTAAAGAACTTTACTTGTTCATGTAGACATTGAGCCCAAATGTTAGGATCATCTAGGTCTACAACTAGATCTAACTTCTCACATATTGACCTGGGTAGAATTGACTCTTGTCTTTATAACAACTAGAAATGACTATAAGATGCCAAAAATGCTTATTTATTGAAGCAATAACCCATCACAATCCACGACAACATCAAGTTTCAATCATGATAGTTGCTATGAAGTAGTCTATCACCATCCAAATTGGTAATGCTTGCTTGATGCATAATCTCAAAGTTGTATTCATGAAGCAACAAAGCCTATCTTACAAGCTTGCCAATAAGCTTGTTTAACTCTATAAGCTACTTCAGAGGTTGATGGTTAATAACCAATATATAAGCATTCACCATATAAGTAAGGTCAAAAGTGAGCAATGGCCAAAATTGCCACTAAAGCTTCTCTTTTATAACATAAGTAATTTGATTTTATATTGTTATTACTTCAAGAAGCAAATGCAATAACATATTCTTATCCTACATCATCCTTCTATATGAATCTTACTTCCAATCCTATTGTATTTCAATTTGTGTAAAGTTAAAAAAATCTATTGGCATTTGGACATTAAAGCATTAGAGTTGAACCCAACTTTTGCTTCAATGTATCGAATGCATGTTGTTGCTTATGATTCCAAGTCTATAGTTGATCTTTACTTGTGAAAATAATTAAAGGATTTTCAATGAAGCTAAAGTTATTAATAAACTTTTGGTAGTAGTTTGTCAACTCTAAAAAAGTCTAAAGTCATAAAACATCACTTGGTATTGGGATTTTCTCCAATGCATCTACCTTTGTTTGTTATATGTGAAGACCTCTTCGGATAATCATGTGATCCAAGTATGATAAATATTCATGGAAGAATTTATACTTTCCATGATGTAAGTGTAATCTCTATTGCCAAAATAGCTCAAACACTACTTGTAAATGCTTCACATAATATTGTGGGGTGATACTAAAAATGATATCATCAATGTACCGTCTAACAAATGACAAGCCAAATGAAACTTGATCCATCACCCATTCGAACTCAACTAATGCATTCTTAAAACCAAATGGAAGGAACTTCCAATGATAGAATTGATTTTTGTCATCTTGATCAACTCTCCAAAATGTTTTCACCCAATTTTCAACAAGTAATGGTAATTAGTAATAACCAAAACCTAAATCCAAAGTATTGAATACTTAGAAGAATCCTACTTCATTAAATAATTCTTTTGGTATTTGTATTAGATACAGATTAGACTTAATCTTACAATTAACTAAACAATAATCTCCACACATCTACTTCTCTATCCAATTACCAAAACATCTTCTTCAAAGACATGACTATGGCACAAGCATACTCAACATTAGAAAGCTTAATCAAGCCTACAACCAATCTCTTGGCAACAAACTTAGACACCAGTTTTCTCTAAAACACTATATTAGTGAAAAGATTGGATGATCATCTTCCACTTAGATGTAAATAGAATTTATGAATAGACTAAGGCAAAATAATTACAATATGAACAAATAAAGGCCTCCAGCATCGATAAAATTTGATAATTGACAACTTCCTATCCTCCATAGGAAGAAAGTCGTACATCAAGGGTAAGGTGACTCATGTCACCGCAAATGAACACGCCTACTAAATTGTTCATGTCGTCGAATCCAAGGGCTATAAATCCTACAAGCGATAAGCGGTCATCGATTTGGTACAGCAAGATGGAAAATCTATTGCAACTCTGCACACTTCACGATTTTGCAAAGAGCATACCGCACGACGAACTCCTGCTATGGGGATCGATTAGGTTGAATGCTGCAAAAATTGTAGGATGAAAACTTTCAAAGAGAAACTGTACCTTGAAAATTTTCACATGTTCACATGACGTCGTTCAATTCCGACAGAAGGCAGCGCGTTAATTAACACCATGCAGCGGTTGCTCTTGTGAACAAGAATCCTATGAGGATGATTGGAAAAAGTTACATTGTGGTACATCTGCGGCAGGAACGCCAACAGGGCACAATTGAGGTTAGGACAAATCCAGGAACACAATCGTATATGTCAATCCTCCGAAATTTGAGCGGATCGAGGCTACGTTGAATGTAGCGCCATTGAAAAGATGGGTGATGAAAGAACCCCATCATTTGATCACTGAATGGCATCCCAAGCTTCCTGAAGATCAGTCGTGGCTGTGCCCATGACACAATAATATCATTGCGTACTCCGACTATAGAATCCAGAGAACAGAACATGCAGCAGTGTGACCAAGATGCAAACACGAATTGCAAAATTCACATGCCGGAAGGGTTTGTAACTAACAAGGAATTTCAATTTCGATACTATCGCTAATGGCAGAGAGTTAGTAAGTTACCAGCGCCTCTGGCGCAACCGCCTCCCGAGAGGGTTCAACAAAGTCGCCCTGCTTTGCTGCCATCCCAAATTTCGCTTCATAATTCTCGCAAGACTAAGTTTGGTTCAAGGTTCTTCAAAAGAGCCTCTACAATAACAAATCTTCAGCGCCTAACACACGCAGGAACACTAATATCGATGCTAATTTAAGCATACCTCACTAATCGTAGCTAGGGCTTGAATCAGGGACCATTCGTGCAATTTAAGCACAACTCTGCAAAGCCGATCATTTGTGCAGAGTCAATATATCCAGCAGAGACCGCCAGTGTGTACAGCTGCAACTCCACTTAGAAAATTAAGATTGACCAGAATATTGCACGGAAAGCGGGCTAGATCTGAACTTTCAAGGCAGCATGCAGTGAAAGGGAATCCTTACCAGTGGCTTGGTGATACAAGAACGGCTCATGCACGCTTCTGCTTACCATGCAAGCCTGTGATGATTCATCAACGCCGTACACAAGAAGCGGTGATTGAAAGTAGCCTGTAATCATTTTTCACGTTCCACAAGATATTCGAACCACAAAGAACTGTTGTCTGCGAGGCAGATTCTTAAGGCACGTACCTTGGTTACTTTGTTTAAAATTTAGCGTTAGAACCAATTTGCGAGCAACCGAGAATCAACCCCAGACTGGGCACTGAGGAAGTGTACTTGAAATCAACGTACAGTTTTGAATTGGGTTTGAGTAATTTAATGGCTTTGCAGTTTGCTTACACAGTAGCTATAAAAGTCGCATTTATAACCGTTGCTAAAAAAAACTCCTTGCCAAAACAACAGAGTTGATAGGGATATCAGGTCATGCCAAATCGGAGTATGCCTAATCTGGGATGCCCCAACACCACCTAATATTGAACCTTTGAAAATGGTGCGAGGATAATTACAACCTTGATCAGTTATAGCCTCACCTCCCCCGCAACTGAAGAAGCGCATTGCATGAAAAAAGATTCCTTACAAAATAATCAGGTCAACAATGGGAAAATACTGCGAAGTGGCAAACGTGTATTTTAAATTGTGATAACAATGATTACATTTTAATACGAAAAATGTTTTAAGTATCTGCAAAAAAATTGCAACTCTCCGAATTTACAAGGCTACAAGAATAGTAGCATTGGTCGATGGAGCTAGAATGCTTTACCGAGTGCAGGAGTCCGAATAATCCCATCCTTCACCTTGCCAAGAGTTAACTGATTGAATGTTGTCAAATCTGATGAGATTTTCCCGCTGGACATGATCATTTTTCGCCATGGGTTTTGACTGTTGACAGCTTCCTTGCTCCCCAGAGAAAAGTTACCGAAATGCTCAAGTTTTGTACCACTTAACTGCTTAGAATCCGTTTCAGCAACTGCAATAGGTAGATTCGGGCCACCAAAGTCACACAATCACTTTGTCAATGCACAGGCATATAAGACTGATGCAGGCCTCATATAAATTTCCCAGGTTTTAATGAATGCAATTAGAGCATTTGCTGCGTGACAGGTTACATGCAGATTTGCAAGACAAACAACGTCCATCATCAACCCGTAACACGACCCAAAACATAAGAGCACTGATTATTTCTTGAGTATCTGATAATTAGTGCATTACCTGCAAATTCTAAAGATGTTTAAACATGCTACAAGTCTAACGAATTCATTCACAAAAGTTTAAACATGATATAAAAGCATGCACATCTAAGTGTGAGGGAACAAACAGAACAGAACAAAACAAAACAGAGCAAGGCAAGGCAAAGCAAATAAATAAATAAATAAGTAAATAAAAAGCTTTCAACCTAAATTTGTGTTGGATCGATGCTCATGCTCAAAGTGACAGTCAAATGTTTCATCCCAAATCTGCAAGCAAATGTTTAGGGGATGCATACAGTGCACATACCAGGAGAGTCGGAGGTTGCTGAACTTCTAGGTTCCGATGGAGGCACACAAGGCTTCTGAAATTTGTAGGCTCTCTGAACAGCTTGCTTCTCTGCCTCCTCCCTAATCAGATTCCTCACCCGCCTTGGCAACCTTCTGCTTTTGATCGTCCTGAAAAGTGGAGACTTGCGTGTCACCTTTGAGTTGCGTAGATTGCCAGAAGCGACGAGCGCTCCTAACCTAGCCGACGTTTGCGCCATTGACGACGAAGGTATTCGCATGGAGATAGACGTGGAAGAGCACACGGTTTTTCTTACAGTAACCAGTAAACTACCACCTGATCCCCTTGGTGTGGGTCTAGCTATTCTATTAGTACTCCGCTCTATTGATAGAGAGGCCGGAGATTCTTGAGAGGACAAAACTTTGGAAGGAGATTTTTGTGATGATCTGCTTGCGCTAGGATTTAATTCATCCAAGTTATGGGACGACATAAAAACCCGACTTCTATTAGATGCTCTGTATCCAGTCCGTATCACCCCTTGGGTCGAAGACTTGGATGGTTCATTTGCACTTGACGTTAACAAAGAAGAATTATGTCCTCCTTCCAAGCTTGGAGCAGAAGTGCTCGCAGAGCTAGAGCACACTGCTCCTTCATTGGTTCCATTCATCCAGCTAGGGAAGCTACTAGTATCATATAGCATATCAGCAAGCTTCAAAGATGGTTTGTAAGTCCTTACTGTGCATTTCGTCTCCGGATACTTTCCTAAGTAGAGCTGCATTTTCATAGGCAATTCAGGCAGCGGATTCACGTTCTTTGTATTTATAATGGGCTTAGACCGTCCAAACATGAAGCCGTTCAAACCTATCACGGGCATCATGCCAACCCTGCCACAGAAGGAATCCACATTCAGCACTACCACAAACCCCGAAGTCTTCAACAATTCGGTTCTCAACTAGTTCAATTGCAAAGATAAACCAATCACAAGTTCCTGGACATATATAACACTTGGAACAAGACGAACTACACCTGATTCGTAACAAGGTGTACCAATGAGGTCGTACATATGAATAAATAATATTATGTCACGAGCCACAAAGAGATCATAAGTGAATAAAACAAGGTTTTTCAAGTAAAACCAAAGACTGTGCAAGGTTCTTGAACTCTAGGAAGAAGTTGCAAAACTGTGCGTCACTGAAACACATACCCTTCACAAAACCAACACGATTCAGTGGATGGAGAGGACTGATTCCAGTTCCAAAAGTGATTCCCTGAATTAAATCCGCTTCCTTTACATCGAGGGCACTTAGAACGGTCGCCGTCAGTTTTACCAAAAATGTCTGTAAAGTTCTTCATGGCAACACGAGCTTTCTCAAACTAAATAAAACAAACCACGAGAAGAAAATTAGAATAATGGGAGTTCACGGAACCATCATTGACCTGAAGAATTCGTCGCTGCAAGAGGTTCATGGAGATTAAAGAAAGTCTTCTTCCGACAGCATCAAAAAAAAGAAAAATGGGGATAAGTATGCACCATCTCAAAACAAACTATATAGAAGATTTCCCACGTTCTAAGATTGTCATTTGGCAAAGATGATTAGACAAAATGTGAGTGACCCTGCAGCTTGCACTACAGGTTGCTACAATGATATATAGACTACGCAGTGAGAGCTTAGTATGTCCCAGTCTCATCCTAGCTATATCTTCTCAAGCTGTTGAGGTGATAGAAAACAGGACTCGCATTTCTCTCAACACACTAAAATAATTACGTGCACAATATGTCCATTATTCAACAGATCCAAGCAGAGACGCTTAAGCGAAGTTACATTCAAACTTTGTAGCAGTGCAATGAGATGTTACCATTTCGCCCATGATGGCCCCCACACTGTATAACCTAGTTTGACGAGATTCCTCAAAATACCACGTCGAAGAGCCACATCATCGAATGTAACAGTTTTCTCCAGAAAATGGATAAGGACTTGAACGTTGAATTTAGACTATGGGAAATGCAGTTGCAGCAATCACATCTCCTTAATGTGGTCTCGCATTGACTCGTAGTTCTCCACCCGCAATTTCAAAAACCAAAGGAACAGAGTTTTCCTTCCTTATTCCCGTACAGTACAAAATCTACGTAACCTACCCATGAAATTGCCAGACGAAAGCTTAAAAGAAACAAAAAGGAATCCACGCCCGACTAATAAGCACCCGCTGCAGAAACGAGGAAGCGCCAAATTTTTCGATAATGCATTCTGGTTTGTTCTTGTTCTTGGTCTTGGCTAGCTTCGCACTAAACCAGCCAAAGATGTAAACAATGCAGCTCAATCTCAATAATAAAAAAAAAGAAAAGAAAAGAAGCTGCAATGAAATCAACAATCCAAGCAGAGCGGATCCACTACAAAATCCCTCTAACAGAATCACCAGCACAACCTCTCAAAACCTAACACTCATTCAAAAACTAGAAGAAACCCTTGACGTAGAATACTAAAACAAGACGCCTTAGTCCGCCACGGAATGTACCTAAAACGAACAGTCACTCACTCACACAGACCTCAATCCCTCAAAGCGCAACTAAGAGCCTCCCGACGTGACTCATCAAGTCGCTTCGAATGCGCGCGAAATGGACTTAATTTCGGATCCTAGGTTCGTTTGCAACGCTGTAAAAGGGAGGAACTGACTGGGCACGCAATGAAGGAAGGATGAGTATTGCGAAACTGCATGAAACGGGGGAGAAATGGACAGGGACTCGGGCAATCCGGAACAATCCGCGACGGAGTGCGGTCCAGCGAGAGCTTCGAGGCTCGGAGGAGGAGATGCGATGGAGTAATGGCCCCAGGAAGAAAGCCATTTCCAGATCTTGTTCCGCATCCTCTACCGAGGTCTCGAGTTTGGGCCATGGGACGTGGTGTCCATAGTGGAGAATGTGCATGAGCTGGCATCTCGACTTGTGGCCTTGTGTCACGTTAGGGTGGATCCTCTCCTAGACTCATATCATGGTAAAAGAAAAATTGTTCATTTATGAATGGATTTTGGGCAATTTTGACGAAAAAAACATTTGTGATTTTATTTTGTCTATGCTCATCAATGAAAACTGGTGCTAATTTAGGGGAATAAAGGCAAAGGGGTCTTTGGTGAAAGCTAAAGAAGAGGACTAGAGAGAAGAGATTAAAAATTGAAAAGAGGGGATAAAATATAAATAGCAATATAATGTATCTAGTGTACTATGTAGATGGCTAGAATCAACCTCAAAATTTGTTCAATACTACTAGTTTCCATTGCTAGTGCACTAACCTTCTTAAAAACTAATTTTGAACTTTAATATATACATAGGTATTCTAGTAAGTACCTATATGATTAGGTAGGAATAGGTAAAAGAAAATAAAAGTAGATTAATTTCATAAGACCTTCTAAAAAATCTTCTTAGAAGCTCTATAAACAATGCTTTGAAATTATATGTGTTTACAGTTGTCAAGGATAAGAACTTGGTAAAAACAAATAAACAAGTGAGACTTCTCTCAAAAAAAGATGACAAAATAAAAATAAATTGATATATATAATAAGAAAGAAAGTGAAATGGCTATTGCCAAAGCCAAGAAAACTAGAGACCCTTGAAACTAGACTAGAAGCAAGAAAGGAGTTGACAAGAGTGAAGAAGGCTTCACTCTTGTCTCTATATATACTATCTAACTAGAGGCTACGTGGCGACGTTCTATATGACCTCCAATATGTGTTGACTTTGTAAGACACATGCCTTGACTTACAAGGCAAGTTTTTCTACATGTGGACTACATAGTTAGCTTGGTCTTCAAGCTAACAACATATGTGGCTCATGGCCAACTTATTGACGACGTTTCTAATTCCAAAAAGTCAATTAAAGACACCTATAAAGTCAAAGTAGCATCTATAAAGCTTCTATGAAGCTTCTATATCAAATACTATAGAAATAACTTATTTTTATCTACTTTTACTTATTTCTATTTATTTATATATGTAATTATTGGTTTATATGCATATGTTCGTGACATAACCTCCATCCCCCCCTCCTTCTAGAGACGAGTTCCATGAGGAGCAGTATCGTATTACGTACTTTCTTGCTCGAGAATGCGCTGGGTGTCTGGATGTAGAAGGTAGTATGGAGATTCGCTAATAGTCAAGCAGTCTATCAGTTTTTGACTACTAGAATATAAACGACTGCAAGAATACACCGTAAATCTATACGGATGCCCTTCGACTGCTTGTCGAAGTCCTTTTTGCCCCAGCCGGTAGGTCTCTAGACGTTACAGAGAACCCCGAACAACTCAATCTGCTAATCTCTGATACCGCTTTGTACTTACGATCTTGTATCCACTGACTGTCTTGTTAGATTAACCCAATAAATTTCATGCACTCCGCATACTCAATCCTATAGACACCCTTTTAATTCTTCAATCACAGACGTAACTCGGTTTCATAAAACAGTCAAGAGTAATCAAACCCACTTCATTAAAAATCCCGATTCACCATTACAATACTGACTTCAGCAATGATTACCTCAGTCTTTCCAAAACCCTATGAAGAAAAAAAAACCCAATTCTCCGTCTTTTCTTCCCCGACCCGAAGCATGAAGCTCCTCTCCAATCCCTGATCTTCAAAAAAACCTCTAATGAAACCGAATTAGTAACTTTGGAAAAAAACTTGAAGCTAGCTCTTCGATCCAAAAAACCCCCCGATCTGAAAAAAAAAAAAAAACCCCCCAAAAACTTATTCTCTCCCTAACCTTATCCTCTGAATTTCTTCAATCTTCCGTCTTGGATCCGAAATTGGCTCCCACCGTTAGAGCTTAGATCCGAAATTGGCTCCCGCCGTCAGAGCTTTCTCCTCCGTTTTTACCTTTAAGAGATCCATTTACCGAAAACAATGTTCCCTAAAACAGCACAGAGAATAGGACAGCCTGAAACAGAATCGAAACCCCGTACTCGGGTCCACATTGAGTCGCCCGACCAATTTAGGTCTCATATTGAGTAAGATGCCCATAGTAACCCGGATGTTCTCGTAATTGGATCAAATTGGTTCTTTGCGTCAGACTGGCTGAGGCCCGTAGTAAGACCTGGATTTTCCAGTAATTAGACTGCATTGGGTTGCCCGACCAATGCAGGTCTCATATTGGATAAGAGGACCCGGATTGGATTCTTGAAATTGGATCCAATTGGCTCTTCGAACCAGGCTCACCCGTCGTGTGAATTGGTCCTTTTTCTTCCTACTAACTCCCATTATTGGAATCGAATGGAGCATTTCAGTATCCCCCGGCTGACTGTAACGGGGTGACTAAACCTGGCCACTCAGTATTTGCACCGGAGTTGGTCGTTGCTCCCAATATTCGAGGTAATTGAACATTAATAAAAGTCCTCTTTCTTTATATTTTCATGGTATACTCATGTTACAACACGACATCCACCCCCTCTGAACCTGTGCATCCTCCGGTATGCACCAATTTACCCAATTGCCGTTTGATTCAGAATATATCCTCTACGTCTTTGCCCAATTCGTCTTCGTCACCTTCATTATCCAAATCACTTTCATCTTCTTGCTGCGGAATCTCTATACCTTCATTAAGGTCTTCCATATTCATCTCCGCGTGTCTTTGTTTAAATATTTTTATTCGCTTCCCTGTAATTGGTATTTTTAATTTTGTACCAATCGAACTCTTGTAATGAGTAAGTCACATTATCATGAACAGTTGTTACTATATATGGTCCAAACCAATGTTTTAAAAATTTCCGCAAAGTACTATGTTGATTATCTAGACTATTGTCATAAACAAGTACCCAGTCACCTTCCTCGATTGCTTTTGGTCTCAATCGATGTTGCTTATCGAATCGTGCCTTGTTTTGTAACCTTGCTCTTTTTAACCTTCTCAATGCTATCCGGACATCTTCCGTTCTTTGCTCCAATTGTCGAATCCTAATAGCCATAAGTTCTTCTCTTGTCAATCCATCTTCCCATGGTAGTATACTCCAAGTAAGTACCTTTTCTTCAATCGGCATAATTGGTTTTTGACCTGTCATAAGTTCTACTGGCATATATCCTATCACCAAACTATGTGTTGTTCGATCAACCCATAATGTAAATGTCAAAAGCCGTGGCCACTCTTTAACTTTCCCATTACAAGCTTTAACCAATGCTTTCACAATCGGTGGGTGACCGGGTTCGCTTTTTGCATTCCCTTCTGGATTATAAGCAATAGTCAATGATAGTTTAACTCCACATCTTTCAAAGAACTTACGAGCTTCTTGTGCATTTAATTCTCCATGATCTGCAGTGATTTTTCCTACGCATTCTTAGCGGCAAATGACATCTTCAAGCAAAAACCTACAAATCCCCTCTGTAGATTTTGTCCTCAATGCTCTTCCTTCTACTTGAATTGATAAATCTTCGTGAGCTAAAACCAAATATCTCATCTGCCATAACCCAACCGACATAATAACCAAATCAACAACCCATTTAAAATGAATAGCCAGAGGATACGTAGGATGAAGACCATCTCGATGTCGGATATTAGAATACGATTGACAGATTTCACATGACTCTACAAATAAGAACACATCTCGATACATATTTTTCCACCAATATCGTTCCTTGAGTTTAGCAAAAGTAGCCCAGATTCCTCTATGCCCTGCCCATAAACTATCATGAAACTCCTTTAATAATTTTAGTTTTTCTTCCTTTTTGCCTATCACTCGTCGTGGCATCCCAATTCCTTTCTTCGGTCTCTTCCATAAGAATCCATCTCAAAGTAAAAATCCATATGCTTTTTTTCTTATTTGTTTGAATTTTTCTGTAGACCAATTCCCGTGCTTAGTCAAGGTATTCAAGTAATGACCAATATCCAATAATTCTCCTTCATAAGATTCTTCAAGAAATAGCTTGTCTTCTCTGTTGAGATTTGATATTGAATAGAATTTCAATCCGATGTCATCAATGTCTTCAATCATTTCGTCCTCCCTCTCGTATCTTGCTCGAGATAGCATGTTTGCTACTAAATTGTCCTTCCCATTAATATGCTTAAATTCTGGATTTAGTGACTTAATATAAGCAATCCATCTCAACATTGCAATATCTGGCGTTGAACAGTTAATAATCATTCCAAGCAATGGCAAGCAATCTGTTTCAATTACTACTACTGCCCCAATCAAATAATCCCTTTCAGCTTTCATAGCCGAAACGACTCTCCAAAGTTCTCTTTTGACTTACGAATATGCACGCTGACGAATACTTAAAATTTTAGCTCCAAACTGAACTGCAAATCTATTTCCACTGGAATCATCTTGACCCACAGCCCATCCAATGGCAATTGGACTAGCGTCCACAGTAAGAATCACTGGTCTATTGCACTTATAATCAACCTTCCTCAATATTGGAGGTGACATCAATAATTTCTTCAATCTTTGCATTGCATGAATATGCCTTTCTTCCCATTTAAATCGATAACCCTTGCGTAACAGTTCATATAATGGATCCGCTATGTGAGCAAAATGAGGGATCCAGATTCGATAAAATACACATGCACCCAAAAACCTACGAACCTCTGTTAAAGAATCACAATCCTCTTTCATCCTTCCAATTGCATCAACTTAAGTTGGATCTGGTTTTCTTCCGTAAGATCCATATAAATGTCCAACAATTACAACCTCTCGCACTACAAATATGGACTTCATACCCGATAATGTAAGATGAACTTCTCCAAGCCGAGTTAAAATCTTTTCACAATCTTGTATATGATCAACAACATATTTGCGACACCCCCTCGTATCTAAAGTTTCATCCTTGTCTCTTTCTCTGCACCC